TTGTGACGTCGGATGTCTTCTGCTGGATGGTGTAACATGTCCCTCTCTACCAGCTCAATATTGTATGTTCAGTCCTGTAAAATGTATTTATTTATGTTGTTGAAATCAAATTGTGTGTGTGTGTGAAGGGTTCCAAAGGCGGTTCTGCAGGCAAAGACGGTATCATAAGTTCCTGCGGTGACTGGAGAAGCTTGAAGATGGATACAAATAAAATGACATTTTCCTCACAAACTCAGGATTGTGTTAAATAACCGTACTAGTCTGATTCTGCCAGAGCCACTCACAACATAACTATTCAGACGGTTTTCATATTTGGCTCTTCGTTAGTTGAAAATTTTCCCAAATATTTTTTTGCGCAGTTGTCGCACTTGTTTCAGAACATTAAACCAATTTAAATATTATTTAGGAACAATTTTGGTAATTGAGAGCTATCAGTCTATAAGAGGAAAAGGTTGCAAAGTTTAAACAGTTTCTTTTCTCCAACTTTTGCCAGAAAAAAATTGGGAAACTGTGGTATTCTACATGAGATTCAAAGACTAAATTCAACAAGTTCCAGGAAAATAACATTAATCAGGTTTGAACAAAGGGCTGAATTTTTCTCCGACGCCCTGTCTTATACATGCTGTTGGCTTTTCCTACCAGAGAACCAATGCACACCAGCAATCAGGCAACACAAGTGTTTGCTGTTTGACAAGGGTGTGTGTGTGTGTGTGTGTGTTGCCCTTTATAGGAGGCTGAGAAATGTTTGTGTCTGTCTTTGTCTGGAGGTGAGGTGGGGGGGTTGCATGCGTGCTAACAATGTACCCGTGTGTCCCCTGTGTCAAAATCTGGCTAAATCAAGTGAAGCATGTTGTGTGTGCGTCAGATCAATACGGGCTAATCAATAGGAGAAGACAGCTAGAAGGACCATAGGGACGAGATGTACACACCTGGTGTAAATGTAGCCCTTGTTTATAGTCCACACTCGGTTTCCTCATTTCTACTCCCGTGTCTCATTTTCACCGTAGTTCTTCAAATATTGTATTTTTCAACCTCTTTCTGACACAAACACGCCAGCTATCTCAGTGTTACCAACCCATCTGACTGTTCCCTTAAAATGAAACAACTTGATCCCAGACACAAGAGCTGGTTTTATCCACCCATTTGTGAAATATCTCACCCTTCTTATTTGTGCTGTTCTGCAGCCAAAACTTCAGCTAATAATCAAATCACCAAAATTATGTTGAAGTTAAACAATGATGTCATGAAGCACCTTTTCTTGTATTTATTATAGGTGCTGACCAGCTAAACAAAATTTAATCCTTACAGTTAACATTTGCATCTGAATGTAAACGACGACTTACGGCAAAATGTTTGCTATTTAAATTCTCATACATGGGTTTCCTCTGAATAATTTGTTTGAAGTGTTTCTTCCCATTTTCAAATTTTCTAAACGTTCACAGAAAAAGTCCAAGGTTAAAAAAAGAAATCTTGATTTGCATGACTACGAGGACGCAGTCCTTCCTAACGCATGCTTTGCCGAAACCCATTTAATTTCTTCGTAATTTATTAAAGATTTTTAACCTGTGTAACATCTTATCTGTTGAACGTAGACAAATTTTACTAATAACCGAAATAGGTCCATGTAAATGATTTGGGAACACCTAAATCATTAAATCGAAAGTATTTATGACCAAACATTTCAAGGTTACAAGTACATCCACTGTATATTTAATAGCTTGGTCCTCTTGAATTTTTACAGAACTAATTCAGCCTTGTTTTCCTTAAAACATAAAGATCTTAAAAATACTGCATAAAAATCTATTCTAATGCAAATAGATGCTGACTTATGAGTGAAGCCAAAAACAGATGGGAATAAGCCTTTAGTCAGTGCTTCAATGCTCCAGGTCTCTGTTAAATTCACTCAGCATGCAAATTGACTGTAATTCACTTACTGAGTGATAAGAGTGCTACTCTGTCTCAGTAATGCCTTTATAGGCTGAATATTAAATAACTCTATGATGGAAATGTCCCCATGGTTTGGATATCCAGTTTGGCATAATGTGGGCTGACCAGGATGTTGTCTTTGGACCTGGTCCGACTCAGTTTTGAATCTTGTATAAAATGAATCATCCTTCATACATTTAATTGTGACTCTTCCATGCAATGTCACAACTTAAAATCTCTTACTTTTCCTTAAAACAACTGAATATAAATTGAGAATTAAAACCTGAAGTGTGGTTTTCTTAATGTTGCTTCTTACCATTAAATTCTCACTGTTTTTCTTCTGTTTGCTCAGATTCAATATCCAAATCTTCCCTTGTTCTTTTCTTTTCTGTTTTTTCAGATCTGAGTTTAAGCAACTCATCTTTTAGTTTGTTTATATAAAATATTTTCTATGATCACCAGTCATATTGAACGCACCATTGAGATCCAGTAAAACCAACATTGCAGGCTCTATGTCATAATTATTTCATTTTCAGAATAAAAGTAACTTTGGAAAAAACCTTTCACTACATATTGAAATTATTTTTTTGCATTCAAAATATACCTGACAATTAAGATTATAATGCCACAGCACACTTTATAAAAACTAAGCTCAATAAATAATTGAACTTTACAATAATATTCAAACTTAATGAAGGTCTGCAATGTTTGCCGTCTTTAACCAATTCAACTTCTGTCACTGTTGTGGAACCATTTGAGAATCATTGCTGTAGAGATTTCCAAATCTCTACAGCAATGAGCAAAGCCCTGAAATGTTCTTATCGTGATAAAAATCTACTCACTTTTCATAAAATATCTGTTCAAATGCATGCACTACACGGTTGCAGCAGGGATTTTATTTCCTTGGGTATTTATTTTCTTTTCTTTTTTTGCTTAAAAAGGAGCACAATTTTTAAACATACTGACGCAGGAGCTGAAAAGTTGCTCTTTATTGATGCTTGAATGACAAGTTCAGCTGACAGGAAGATGGAGAGAGACAGGCACGCAAACTTGTGAGCGCATGCATTATGCACATGCACCTACAATCACAACGTGCACAGGAAGACAAGCACACACAAGCACAACACACCTCCCACGCTGCCGAGACGCCGACTCTCCTGACAAATTGGAGCGTGCGCGAGCCTGGTTGTTTTCGGCATTACGGTTCTGTCACATTTTTGTCAGGGCTGTACGCGGCTTCATAGCGAGACAAAGAAAGCTAAAAAGAACACTCATGTTATTCTGCATTTCCGCTTCCTCCGTCCTGCTTTCTACTGATGCTGCTCGTTGGGATTGAAGTGGGAATGTGGAGCAGAAGTCAGCATCATATAATGCATAATTCTTAGTGTCCTATTGTTACAGCCCAGACTGTTATATAATTCAGAGAAGACATCCACATTGTGATTGCAAATAAAGCAGTGTCCTATGGCTTTAAATAAAAGATTTAGTGTGTTGTCTTCTCACCCAGCCTGTTGGAACAGTTTTCTGAATAAAATGCCTAATGCTTCACATGAAAAGTTAGATGAATTCACATGATTATAGCTAAACGATATGCTATTCAAACCAACCAAATCTAAAGGGGAAAAACCACAAATGCAAGTAAAACCTAATGTCACTGTCTCTAGTGACATTTCAGCCACAGATTGGCTTTGCTATTCATCTTGTCCTGTCAGAATTAGTAAAACACTCCTGAATTAAAAGGAACAGAAATGCTTGTTTTCTTTCTTTCCTTCTCACAAGTCATATTTACTTGACAAGAAAAAGCGAAAATAGATTTTTCCTTCTGTAGAAATAAGGATAGTCTGGCAGAACATTGCCACATGGTTTACTGCACTCAACAAACTGATGTCAAATTTCTGGTGTTCAGTTATTTTAAAGCGATCCAGGAATAGTCAACATGTTGGCCTAAATATGTTGTACATTTTCCTATTAACCTCATAATAGCTTTGTGATATATAAGAGTTCATGATGATGATGATGCTGCATCAACATTTTCACAAGTTTCCTGTTGAAACAAACATGATCAGCTTGTGATCTACTGTTTATTTTATTAGACAGAGCTAACACCATTAGCAGGAGCTAACATAAAATCAAAACAAATGGAAAGATAATGAATGGATGTGCAAAGTGACAATGAAGCATCTTCCCAGAATGCATTGCATCGTAAACATGGCAAAGTCAGTGTGACATTTTGTTTAAATTAACAAAAACTAAACGGCCTGCTCTATTTTAACTAGTGTTAAAATAGAGCAGTTGTTGCAACTAGTTGTTGATTCCATTTAGTAAAAAGGTCAATATTTATTGGCAGTGTCACAATTCTTAATAGCAAACAATTTAATGTTGAAGTAAGATATTGACTGTTAAAACATCTCCATAGACTGAATCTGAGCTATCTGTTCTCATTTGCTTTCAGCATATGAATTATGTGCTGAAAGCAATTTAATAGCACTGAGTTGATGAGGAATATTCATGTTGGCTGAGCTCACGAATCTTCATGAGCTCCTTCTTTTGGATAGATTTTTCAAAGACCAATAATGGTTATTTTTGGTGTTGCTATGCCTTGTTGTTGAAGTCAGACATTGTGAGTTCTTCACCTACATTGAGAAACGGCTCATTACACTCAGAAAATGTGCAGCTTAAGAGTGTGTATGTGTGTTTGCCTAAAATATCCAACTGAAGATAATTAGCTTGTCCTGCTGGGCAGCAAGGTATGAGAGAGGCATAGGTTTTTGCATAAATGCTCTGTGTTCATGTGCCAGCTATTGTCGAAGTTTAGGCCTTTTTTATTTTTTTTCTAATGGAAGAGTTTTGGTGTGTGGGTGTGCGCACTCAGACGGTATTTTAACACGGCTAGCCGACTTCTTGCAGCCCACAGTTAAACAGTGACTCACAAATTCCTCTCTCACTCTGCTTCTCTTTCTCACCATCATCGTTCCCCCCCCTTTTCTTTTTCACTCCTTTTTTAACACATTTCACTGGTTTTCTGACATTTTCTTTCTCTGACATGCCTTCTCTTTTTTTTTCCTCCTCTGTAGGTTTGGTGCTGACTATAGCAAACTTTAGGACAGAGGTGCTTCCCCTCCACTCTCTCCCCATCGCCTCGCCCCCCCACTGGCATAGCTCCCGTCAAACCCAGACCCAGTAAGTTAAAACACTCCTCCTCTTGATTTTTAACTCGTCTTTTTAGTCATTGATTTCCCTTTGATTGGCATATGTTACAAAGTGTAAGGCCTTGAGATTCTCCTCACTTGCCTTGCCTTGCACTTGCCACATTTTTATTTTAAGATTCAATCACAGAATTACTTCTAGTTCAGTGTGCACACTATTTGCCTGTATGCATCACTTTGAAGAAGAAAATAATAACATTTGGGAGCCCCCAGAATCTATAATGTAATGACCCGATTGTCTTGGTCTATCAGATGATGATGACTGCAAGGTTGACATGCAAAATGACTTAGTCTTCTTGGTGGCTGACCACTAAGAACGGAACATTAAAATGTAAGTAAGGCAACAGTAAAAACAATACAGATCAAACTGTATCTGGTTGAAAGGAGGAACTTCATCTTCAAAGATGCATTATGCTCTGCATGAAGGATTTTACATATTCAGACAATATTTATGAAACAAGTCCTGAAGCATATCTGTACTCTACAAGGTTATGGTCAGTGAAAATTCTCAGGATAGTCCAGATTTAATCTAGAGATCTTATGTGAAAGCCTGTAGAATAATGTGTCTGCTACATATTAGACCATTTACTTATACAAGCTAGTACCGGTAGTACTAATTGTAAAATGTGGCCAAAAAAAAAGACGCAAATGTAATAAGCTTTATACAAGCCCACAGTCTCACATGCTTTCATACAAAGAATGCTGTTTCCCCAAATCAAAGCCCAAATCAAAAGCAAAGCCGAATGTTCTTGTCTGTAAAGGGGGGAAAAAAAGAAGTTTCCTGACGCACAAGGGTGCACTCGTACACAACCCCTGAGGGCCCCAGGGACTTCAAAGAGCCGTCTACTGTACCTCAGCGACACCTCAACACCAGGTGCCACAGAAATGAGGAAGGAGGGAGAGTGGGTAGCAATGGCTCTGGAGAAGGAGGCTGAACGCCAAGAACAATCTTTGGGACGATGGTTAAAAAGAAGAAACAAGGTCAGAACTGCAGAGAGAGATAGAGGAAATATGTGGGAGTGAACAAGGTTACAGAGAGAAAGAGGAGACAGAAGAGCAGAAGTGGAGATGACGACTTGAAGGAAAAGAGAAGTTAGAAAGGAAGAAAAAGAAACAGAGAAGCAGACAGAAAATCTGATACTGATCAGAAAGACAGAGTGGCAGAAAAGAGAAACAGACAGGGGGAGTTGTTGGAGCTGAAGACAGAGGCATGTGGGGGAGGGCAGTAACAGTGTGCTGCTAATACCTACTGCTGCTTTGTTGTGAAGAACCCCAGTTCCCTGTTTTATTGGTGAACTACTCCTTTAATGACAGCAGTAAAACACAGTCACACACGTACATATTGCTGTTCCTCTCTGGCTGACAGGATATAATGTACAACGTGACGAGTCACAGTTCAACTTTTACAACTTGCAGGCTGAACGCTTACACTCACGCAAACCAAAGTTTAAAGGCAGTGACAGCTGTTATAAAATAAAAAGGGTTTGCCAGGGATCCATATATACACACACACACGTATATATTTACATAAACTATATAAAGTCATAACCTTTTCTCACCGTTTGCTTTTAATGAATATTTCAATTACAATTACCAAAAAAAAAAATTTCTATTCAGTACATGTCATGTTCATGAGAAAACAAAATAATGGTAAAAATTTGGGACATGAAACCACATGGCAGGTGTTGAGTATTCTTTCCTCACAATTGCTTTTTAGAATTTTGTCCCATTCCTCCAGAAAAGAACTGGTGTGACCGAATGCAGTTTGTAAACCTTTTCAGCTTTGTCTGCTTCTATAAGGCTGAGACCCCAAAATACAACTTTGTTGTCGTTAAATGACTTCTTAACTAACTCTGTTGAATCGTTTGGGTCACTGTCCATGTGGAAGACCCATTTGTGTCCGAGCTTTAACTTACCGGCCGATATCTTGAGCTGTTGTTTCAAAATTTCAAGTGTTCTTCTGCAACAAAGCGCAACCATGATGCTACCATCTCTGGACTTAAGCTTCCCCTTTTTCCTCCAAGTGCAACTATGCTCATAATAGCCAAACTCTTCAAGTTAAGGGTTTGCAATATCTCCAAATGTCAGGATGTTTGACCCTGAATGCATTTGCAAATTGTTTGTCTTATGCTTGGAGAAATTACTGGGATGCATTTTGCACTGAACAGGCTCATCGTTGGGTCACATCTCTGTCCTTAACAGTACGATGGCTGGTAACATTTGGATATGATTGTTTGGACAGATGAATGTGGGACCTTCAGGTATCTGGCAATTGTTCCTAAGGATGAACCAGACTGTTGAAGGTGCACAGTTCTCTTCTATGTATCATTATTGATTTCTTTAGATTTTTATACGCCACAGAAGGAGCAGTTAGTTTGAGGTGTTCCCTTAAAATGAATCCACTGATCTGCTTTCAGTTAAGTCAGATGTCAGCAATTAACCAATCAGAAACTGACAAAGTCATCACATCATCATCTGGGCTTTTCCAAATTGCTTAAAGAATTGTGATCAGTGTTATGTAAAAATTGGACTCTGGAAAAAAAAAAGTAATGAACCATCATAATTATTCTTGCATTTTGCAAATAGAAATGTTGTCTTAATTGATCTGAAACAGAAAAAGTTTAACATGAGGGAAAAAAGGTAGTTTGTCTTTCTGAACAACATATGTAAACACTTACACCTAAATGCTGATGGTGTAATCTGGGACAATACTCAGTGTAGTGGTAGAGCTAAGAAAGGAGAGTAGATTTTAATCTTATCAAGCTGTAAACACCATAAGACAGGGGTGTCAACATCCAGTCCTCGAAGGCCGGTGTCCTGCAACTTTTAGATGTGCCTCTGCTGCACCACGCTTGAATAGAATAATTAGGTCATTAGCAAGGCTCTGGAGAACTGATCTACACCAGGAGGAGGTAACTAAGCCATTTCATTCCTATGTTTTGTACCTGTGGCACATCGAAAAACTGCAAGACAGTGACCCTCGAGGACTGGAGTTTGACGCCCCTGCCATAAGAGTTATAAAATGGGTGAAAACGACTCCAGTCTTTGTGCAGTTTAGCTCGAAAACACATAAAGCAGGGTTAAAAAGTAAAGCACTGGTATTTTTAAGAGAACATTTGCATGGACTGTACTTTCATGTGTTGCAGCCTTGAAATTTTCCAGAAGCTGCCCACCAGCTATGGGAAAAATGAAGCCGTTAGACTAGACATTGTGCAGACTTCTAGCTGCCAATCACACATCCATCGTCCTGCGTTTTAGAAAAAGTATCAATGAATTCCAAATGTTTGTGTATTTTGTTCATATTTTATGTGATAGGCCTACACAAAGTATTGCACAACTATGAAGTGGAAGCATTCTCGATTTTGTATTTATGCTACTGTACTCTGATACCCCTAGTAAATCCAGAGCAGCCAGTCGCCTTCAGAAATCACCTAATAAAGAGAAGTATAAAGCAGGGTCAGGTTATAAAAGAATAAACCAGCCTTGAAATTAGAGCTTTGATCAGAGAAGCAGCTAAAGAGGCCTGTTTTAACTCTGGAGGAGCTGCAGAGATCAAGAGCAAAGTCTGACATTTATAGACGAGTGGCAAGAAGAAACCCAATTTTCAAAGAAGCCCCTCCTCAGAGGCGAGAAAGCAAAAGTGTGAAATTAGAGAACCTTGTGCTTGTATGCAAAACATTACTTATGATTGAAATTTATGGCATGCTCCCCGTTCTCCATCTAGGACAGTCAAGATATCACAGAGAAGTTAAAGAAATAGTTTAATTGAGTATCAATTAAATGACTGACTGTTGTTTTCATGACTGTGTTTGTAATAAACAAGTTGCTTTTAAGTGCTGGATTTCAAACCGATTTTCATGACAAGAAACAATCACTACAGAATATTAATGCAGCATTTTAACATTTTGGGGTTTTTTTTATCTATGAAGATTAAATTAAACACAGGCGTTTTAAATGTTTTACATTAAAGTTCAAATCTTTGTGTTAATTTAAAGAAAAGTAAGTCCATTCAGTTGTTGCTTGTTGTAGGTATAACAGATGAATACCAGCTAATACTACAAAATGTGGAACGTGCCTATTGCAGCCTTTTCTCATTTATTGTTTTAGATTGGTTCCACTTATAAGGAACCAAGAAAAAATGTGGAAAGGTGTAACAGTTTTTTGTGCAAGACTCTCTTTGGAAGTAAAAACTGACACTACGTCAGTAACATTTTTTGATTTACTTGCAATGTTTAATTTTACTTATCAGATGTAGCCGAGTGTTCGTTCTGTATCTTGCACTAGTCACCTCATCACTTTACAAGGGAGAAACAGTTTAGCTTCTGGTGCCTGTCAATGATATTTTTCTAGCAACAGAAAGACTGGTAGCTCTTTAAAAAAAATTCAAAATATACTCAGTGTTTGCAATAATGATCCGTTCTGCAAAAATCCTGTGCTGAATTTATTGTCTATCCGAGATGCTACTGTAGCAGCTTCAATAGAAATTCGATTTCATGTTAAAATGAAATCTGTCGTAAAGATGGCCTGCGCTGCATGCACATGACTCACAAACTAGACAACAGTAAACCCTGGCAACCTTCCTCCCTGCTGACGTGTCCTTGAGCAAGTCACCAACTCCCCCAGCAGCTCCAGCGGAGGTACTCTGGAGCCGATCCCCGACCTCTGACCTCTTTGAGGAGGGTAGTGCACACAAAGAGGGATTCTCCCTGCGGGGATTAATAAAGTATCCCATTATCATTTGAATGCAGTCGATTGTATCTTTGTAAGTCTACATTTCATCCTGCTGAAGCTTTTCGGCAGCAATACGCCACATGACCTCCCTGTCTCCTGTATCCATCGGGAGAGGGTCTGCACACCAAATGTCACATGATAGGAACCAGTCGGTTTATCTCATATACCTCCCTGCTTGCTGTTCATCTAATGAATGGATTGCAGCTGTATCCTCGCTAGTTTGTTCTTCTGCGGCCAGGATTGTAAACTGTAAACTGCATTAAAGCACAAGCCTTTCATGTACTTTTGAGTAGTCATTATAAGGCAAAACCTTTGAAATTTTATTGCTGTTGTGGAAACAAGGGGGAAAAGAACCACTGCTTCTAATATAACTACAGATATAACTACAAAAACCAGTCCTGTCCCTGTCATGGGGAGCCTGTTACAGGGTTAGAGCAGCGATATTAAGATGAGTCCTGCCAATAATTAGAGTACGGCTGTAGCAATCACCATAAAGCATAGTGAACTAGCTCCTTGCAGAAGTATTGATGCCCTTTTAAGTTATTTATTCTGGTTTTATATTGCACCCAGCTGAGTTATATTTCCCATTAAAGTGACTTCTGGAGGTACAGATTGATTTAGGTATCGGAGTACTATTGAATGATATTCTTTTTGAAAAGTGTGCATCACTTTGCTTCCTCTTCACAATTATGTGCTTCTTTGTTTTGACTCGTCAGATTAAAATCCATCTGTCATCGTCGTCTTAACCTGACAGAACTTTCAGACGGCACTGAAATTTTCATCGTTAGCAGATTTTGCTATTGTATATTTATGTATCGCAGAACTATGGCTAACCGTGTGACATTTCTTTCCATGAGAGCAAAGCATTCCCCCCCCAAATGTTTTAGCAAACGTTTCAGAATGTCAGGGAACTTTGTTGCACTGCTATTGCACAATACCAAAGCCCCGCTAAAGAGGAACTTAAAAAACAGCAAACACTGACATTTTATGTGTGTCTCACTGGTCAACAATCCCTCTTGTTGGCCTTTATCCTCAAATCCCCATGGACGGAGAGTCAGGAGGGAGAGAATGCTTAAATGCTTTGAATGATGGTGTGGAATGCTAAAAGGAAGAGTGTGTGTGTGTGTGTGTGAGGAGGGGGGATGTGTGGTGGTGCTGGTTGGGTCCCCTGCCTGGTCTGGGATCTGGTATGCGTGACTGAACAAGAGGAGGGAAAAAAAAGGAGGGAAAAAAAAAACAGAAACCTGTCGCTAAACTTCTAAAAGTAGACAATGGTTACTGAGCAGGCCTGGCAAACCCTGTGCATGTGTGGTGTGTGTCACTTCACACACAGGACACCTCCTGATGGAAAGCAGTACGTTTCCTCTTACTGCAAGACATAGCTCAAATAATTAAAGCAAAGACAAAAAAAAAAGCCCTTAAAGGTAAAAAACCTTCATAAAAATTCATTAAATTAAACCGAAATAATCAGTGATGTGAATCTCATCATCTATTTCCCCCCAACTTTGCACATTCTGGTTGCATCTGAAGATGACTAGGAGACTTTGATGATTAAAAAAAATCAGCAAGGCAGAACAGTTTGCTATAATAAACGCCATGGTGATAATTAATTACACAGGCGCTGCAGCCAAATCAAGACGGCAAGCATCCATTTTGAGCCCCCTCATAAATAATAAAACAACAAATGAGATTTTTTTGTTTGTTTTGTTCAAGCCCCCTTGATAAGCAGGACAATGGTCCTAAATATGTGGGCAGCTATTTGGAGTAGTGTATTAAAATAATAAAAGGCCATATTGTTCTGAAGAAGTGCACTGGAGCTCATTGGGGAGGAATTTAAAACAACAACAGACAAATAATCCACACCGCTGGTTCGTTCATTATATAAATATCTTTAATTGTTTTTAACCGTAAGAATATAAAACAATTTAATTTGGGATTCTGCATTCTTTTTCTATACAAACACATAATATACAGTACATCTCTTTATTGTCAAAGACACACACGCACGCACTCACACACGCACGCACACACACACACACACACACACACACACACACACACACACAGCTTCTTCAGCAGGACGCACATCCGTTTATATTCATTTTCTTGCAGGTCATTGCATTACAATAAAAATGCGCACACACTGGCCTCAGTGTGTGCGTGTGCATGTGTGTACAGTCTAAATCTGCATGGTTTTTTTTGTTGTTTTTTTGTAAAGGAAGGACGGTGAGATGAGGAAAGGGGAAAAGAAAGACGTATATTCTGCTCGTTGCAGCCCAAAACTCGAGGGAGCGAGGAAGAGGAGGGGAAAAAAAAAAAATCGATTTCTATTTATTCTAAGCATGTCTCAAAATTGATTCGGAGGGTATTTTTATTCAGAGAGATGAAGAAGAGGGTACCGATGGGGGAGGGGGGGGGGGGGAAGCTGTGCACCGGTAAGGACAACATGAATATGAATGCATCTGTACTAATGTGGGAAAATAAGAGCACAAGACAAACCCTGATTTGTTACGATTAATAAAGGGCTAGACATAGAAATCACTTCAATTTGAAGTACTCTGAACACTCAGCTCCACCAGCATGCCTTACAAAAATACCTACAGCTCAACAGGACCTACAAGGTGTAACATCACTGTTATTATACCCTTTTCTTGTCCATGTCATTAGTAGGCATGGCTCGCTTATTATTAAGATATACCCAAGATCTTGCAGCTTTGAAATCATTAAAATGTTACAACCAATCTTTGATTTTCTCCGGTTTAATCACCTTTTAAATAAATCTGGCAGCATGGAGGATAGAGTAATGCAGCGCTACCCCTAAATCACTTGTTGCTGCACACTGCCAGTCAGCTAGCTGAAAAAAAAAAAACACAAAAAAAAACATGCTTCTACAATATTCACCTTGTTTATCAGAAAGACACAATTGGCTTTTCGGAAATACACAGCCCATAACACTGTGAGAACTAAAGAAGTGCCAAAAGACCCTTATTATAGAGATGCACCGATCTGGCTTTTACCAGCCATTACCAATTTCTGATTAAAAAAATTAAAAAAATAAAAAAAGACCTGCAAACTCCAATGTTTTTACAGCCTATTATTTTATTTGGCTTATGAAAACAACTGTATTAGATATTTCTGGTTGTGAAAAACTCTGATGGCGTAAAAACTGCAGCAGAGACACTCATGAAAATGACTAATTTCAGCAGACATCTCCTCCAAAGGTGCAGCAATTAGGCCGTAACTGGCCGACCCCAATTTCTCTGACCTGCCGATCCTGATGTTTTCACATAAAACAGCAAAATATATGGTGCAGCTTTTGATTATTGGGCATAGTTGAGTCCATCAAAAACAGGAAAAAAACCTACAGGATGACCACATCATCATTATGTATGCATCAAGCATATGTCTCTAATTTGAATATAGGTTTTGTTAAATTAAAAAGTGCATCAAAATACCTATTGTTTCGCTGATACATTTACAGACCAAAAAGTATATTCTATATTTGACCCAAGGGTCAAGATGCATGTCTATTGTTGCTTTATCCATGTATCAAAACCAGCCAGTTAATTATTTTGCAGCAATAAAAATATTTGCTGCTTTACGTTTTTGAGTGAAAGCAGTGTTTACGTATCAGTTGACAATGTTTTCCTTGTAAGATAAGTAAAAATGCAAAGTGCAAAGAATCTGATACCGACCCATGCCTAGTCAAAGCAAAAACAATTATAGGTATTTTTGCCAGGGGGTGCGCTCTTAATCCTGCCAAAAAACGACATTAAAGTTGGACTTTATCCTTTAAAAGAATGAAGCAAACAACAACAGGAAACCTTTTTCGATGTTTGCGTTGGGATTTTTTTTTTTGTGAAGTGATGTCGGCTTCCAATCGGACTAAACTCCACAGGAAACGGGTGCTGTTTATAGGGTTAAATTAACAAAGGTAGTCAGATTGTGTACTGGTCTCCTTTCTCTGGCTCTGCTCATGAAAGAAGGGAGGGAGGACAGGAGGGATGGGGGAGGGGGCAGACACAGTCCCTTTAGGCACATTTTCTACCAGTCTCATTTCTCGGCTTTCCTTCTTCTTTTTGAACTCTATACATCCCTTAAAAAATCAAAAAAACAACCACATACGAGGTAGCCAAACATTTACTAGGCGTGATGGCTGTAGCGGCGATTAGTCGTCAAATCTGAAGTCGTAGCAAAAATAAATCTCATTCATAAGTTTCAACAACCTGTCTTTGCTTTGAATATATATATATATATATATATATATAAAAAAAATGATCTTGGATGGATGCAAATGTCAAGAATCAAAGTTTTTTTTTGTGAGAAGAAAATGATAAGTTGTTTAAAAAATTACCTAAGTTACTGCAGTTGGGGCAGACATTTCTTGAGATTTTAAAACTCAGATTTGTTAGAGGGTTTCCAGGAAGTCTTATGTTTAAGATATGAGTCTAGATGCTGCGGGGCCAACAGAATGAAAAGTTAAACAGCTGAAAAGAAGAGGCAGGTCAAATGGAAGAGGCTCACCTTACAACAGAGGAAAAGGTGAGGATGCAGGGAGGGGTTTTCTCTTTTTAAATAAAAGAAAGCCAGCTGAGCTTTTCACCCTGACTCCTCCTGCTCCTTGTGACCCCTTTCCATCCAAAAAAAAAAAAACACACACAAACACACACACAAAAACACTCCCAATCACCTCACTTTCTCACTCTCCGTCATCTGCCAGAGTCCCAGGTTCAACACTTTAAGGCAGGGGAGCTGCGTGATTCGCTCCAATCCCCTCTTGGTGATCTTGGTACATCCATATAGGTCGATGCCCACCAACTGGGTCAGGTGGTCGGCTATGAGCTCCAGCCCTTTGTCTGTGATGCGCACGCACTGTCCAATGTTCAGGGTCCTCAGCTCGTGCATCTGCCTCACCATCCGGTTTATCCCATCATCTGAGATGTGGCAGGAGCACAGGGACAAGGACTTGAGCTGGTACAGTCCCTGAGCAATGTACGCCAGGGTCTGGTCCCCGATCTTGTCGCAAAAGGAAACGTCCAGCCCGGAGAGTCGAAGGGTGCCCATCGCAAGGTGCATAGTTCCTGTGTCACTGATGTTGTCACAGGAGCGCAGGTTGAGGCTCCACAGGGAGGTCATGTGAGACAGGTGGATCATCCCCGCATCTGAGATCCCCCCACAGAAGCTCAGATTCAACACCCGCAGCTTGGTAAGCCCCTTGGAGATATGCTTGAGTGACAGGTCTGTCAGCTTCTGACAGTCTTGGAGGGTCAGGTACTCCAGGTTCAAGCAGCCCTCTGCTGCACTCCGGGTCATGCCCGCCAAATGTCCGATCCCTACATCTGAGACATGCCTGCAGGACCTCAGATTGAGGCTCTTAAGTCTGTGGAGCCCCCAGGCTATCAACAGGAGCCCAGTGTTTGTGATGTTGCTGCAGCCGCCGAGCTCCAGCACCTCCAGGTTCTTCAGGTACTGGGCGATCCTACCTAGACTGGAGTCTGTGATCTGCTTGCAGAGACTTAGGTTCAGAACCCTTAGAGAAGGGATCTCTTGGACAAACGCGTGGCCCAGTCCGTTATCGGTTAGGTTGTAGCAGCCAGACAGGTTGAGGGACTCTATGTTCGGCATCCCCTGGATGACATAGCTCAGGCTGCGGCGCAGGGACAAGATCTGGACTCTCCGGATCCCCCTGGCTTGTAGGCTGGGGAACAAGGAAGGATTTGCCCGTCGGAGGTGAAGCTTGGCTTCCACCCCCCTCCACACTGACTTGTGGTAGGATGCATCCCTCCAAGCGATGCACACTTGAGCCACCCTGCCTTTGTCCCTCACGTCCAGGTAGCTGAAAATCATGGCCAAAATTTCTGGGAAGAGGCACGAAATGTGCGTCTCCATTGTTTTTCAAAACCCAGGCATATAAGAATCAATACTCCACACCTCCAAGGCTGAAAAAAAGATCCCCCTTCTGCACTTGATATTATGCAAAAGTAACAACAGTCCCAGTTGGTTTTTTGTTGTTGTTTTTTAAAAAGTTGAAAGCAGGAGTTGTGTGCTGCTCTTGTTTTATTTTACTCCTACTCTCACTCTGAACTGTGCAAAATCGATCCAACTCTCTGGTGCCACGTGATCCGGTCTGGTTGCGCAGCAGGATTCAAATAGATATTAAAGTAAAAACAGCAAAGAAAAACGTTAATTCCTGCTTGGACCCCGCTATCCGCCAAAAAAAAAAAGGAGCAGGAAAAAGGGGGCAAAAGGAAGAAGAAGAAGGAGGCGGAGGAGGAGAGGAGGAAAAAGCGTCAATCCTTCCCCCCTCTCCCTCTTCTCTCAGACGACGCTTCCTAGTATTATACCCACAAAAAGCCTTCCTCCGGCGGCCGAGCGGGGATCCAGACGGTCGTACATTTCAGGAGGAGGAAGTCAGCGCTGAAGTGGCAGTCTCAGCACTGCTGGCTACGGGGCAGCTCCATGACAGGGTGGGGGGTGGTGGGGAGCGGAGAAGACAGGAGTTCAGGTTGGCTTTGTGAGTGAGAGGCAGAGAGGGGCGTCCTGAGCTCAAAGCCTTTGTCTGCTCTTTTCAAACCGACTTGGCAGGAAACCCGGCACTCTGGCAACACCGGAGGGGTCGACGCCACAAAAATGATGCTCTCAGTAACTCCTCACAGCCGCTTCACGTCACTAATGACGCTTACAGTTGCTCTGTGGATACGTTTAAGAGCGTAAAAATGAGATTTGAGGCGTTTATTCCGCGCCGGAGTGCGAGTTTATTTCGGGTTGGAGTCCGAGCACCCCTACTCTCTGCGTGTGACGCAGTTGGTTTGTCCCGCCTCAGCTGGAACGGTGCGAACAGTTTCCCTTGGAAACCAACTTCTTACAATTCAGTTCACTTTGGGTTTTAACCCTTTAAACGGACCACACAGGAAACACTGACAAGCCAACAGGACAGGCGGCTTCTGCTCTGTGTTTGTGTCGTTGGAAGGTTGTTTTTTGTTTTGTTTTGCTCCCCTCCGTGTTACTGATTTTAATCGTTGTTCTGAGGAATTCCCCCAAACGCTGTTCTTTGTTTCAGTCCCAGTCTGAACTCCACTTTCCTCCATTTCCTTGACATTGAAAGTAGGCTAATACTAAAGTTTTTTTTGTGTGTCTTTTTCAAGCCTGAATAAGTAGGCTAAAGGGGGAAAAAAAGAATAGAGTAATATTTTTTTTCTCCATTAAAAAAACAAACAAAAAAACATTCTGCATAAAATCAAACCATTTCATTGATTATTTTTGAGATATTGAAGCCGCTACAGAGAAATGCTCTCTCACTCATAACTCCAGACACTGACGCTGCTGTTTCAGCTATTTCACAAATAACATGGAATCAAAATAACCTTTATTTATTCCCACAAAGGGGAAGTCAAAGCTTGCAGATTCACATAAAGATGATAAAAAAAATAATAAACACACATAAAGTAAGAATAAATTTTACAAGAAAATAAAGTGCATATGTTTAATCATTTAAATTGAGCCATGGGGTACAAACACCTCACTTTTTGACTTTAATATGCAAATTGGTTGTATTTTAAAAATAGAGGTTAATGTTGTCATATTATTAAGTAGGATGCTAGCTCGTTGCCTATCTAAAACATTACAGTGACAATAAAAGTCTGAAAAAGAAAGTAATGTGGTGCTGGAATAAATTAACTCGAAACAAAAAAAATGCTTTAGAATATTTTAAAAACATCAAATTAATTTGTTCAACGTATTAGAGAATTGCATTTAAAATGAGTACAGGAATATCACAGTATTTGGTCCTTTTGTATAAATTACTGCATGCAGGTTATCCACCTGTGGCTCAGCTGAAATGTTAAAGCAGTTCATGTTCATCATCTGCATTCTTGGTTTTGGTGTTTTTCATTTTCCTCTTGACAACACAATCGTGAGGTTTAGTTTCAACCAGTTGCCGTCTTTTTTCTGGGAATGTTTTTGCCTTTGGGCTTTTTCTCCTGTGGATGTAATGTCTGCCCATTTTCATTATTGGATCATGAAGACCGAGCTCAGCTGAGACATATTTACAGTTTCTTAGAGCTTCAGTTTTTGTTTTGAGTTTTATGGAAACTCTACAAGAGATAAAACCCAAGTTAACAAGAAGTTATGTAACAATAATGATGTTGATTTTCAGGGAGATTAATAAATTTTTGATAACTCTCGCTTGGTTAGTTGGTCTGGAGTTAATGATGGAAGTTGGTATGGAAAATAATTGGTAAAAGTAATTGGTTTCAGATTGAAATTAGTGCACTTTTCTAGTCATATCGACCACTCAAAGTGCTTTTGCACTTGAACCACCAATTTAAGTTAGACATGCAGCAGTCCTTGTAGTTAGTCTGTGGACATAGAGGAAGCACAAGGGAAGTTTCAGCAAGCAAATTACCATTCCACTGTTGACAGTCTGTCGAAGGAGGACCATATGGCAGCTCAACACATCCAGCAGGCTTGATGAGCGACATGTGCGTATCTGCAGCCAGCGGGGCAGTGCCCTCTTATAGACGACCAGCTGAAGCAGGAAGGAGAAACAGCAGGGAAAAGGTAAATAAAACACCACAACCACCCTGAATGATGACAGATAACATGGCCATTAAAGCGGATATCGGTGTTTTAGGCAGTGGGTAGGAGACAAATCCCGCTGAAATATGAAATCAACATCTTCATCAAGCTCATCAGCTGAGAGAAGCATGAAGTGTTATAGAAATGTGCTACTGGACGGCTCCTGAAAAAAATCATCACAAATTGTTGAAAGTTCACTGGACCTCAAACAAGTTGAGTTTTGTTTCTTTTCGACTCTTCTAAACTGCTTAAGAAACAGAATGCAAAATGAATCAATGCAATCAAAAATGCACGTTTTCTTTCTCTCATTGTAATGATGAAAACGCCACCATATTTTATATCTAGTGTCAGTAATATTTTCATTTTCCTTCATGCACAATATAATTCAGGATACAGGTGAATTAAATTAATGTTTGTGGCCTCACCTCACAACTAAAAACTCGTTCTGATTTCCAGGGAGGTTTGATTTCACATGTTCTGGAAATAAGGTGGATTGCTGAAATACTGTTTAATTTAGCTGTTACTCTGTTACTCTTGTTCAAATCCCAACATAAAACAAGCCAGCTCAGAAGATCTTCCTTACATGGCACTGAAATTAATTAGTCACTTCATGCTGTCTATTTTTAATCCCTTTATGCTATTTTTACATAAATTGACCCATTAATAGCCTGCTGATGTTGCATAAAGGATCCGTTTACTAGATATTCTCACTTGGAATGTGATAAAAATATTCAGGATCCATCCCTCTTCTCTTAACTCATGTTCTGTACTTTCATCAAGGGTAAAAACAAAGCAGCTAACTGCATTGTCCCTTGTGGCTGCCAACACCTACGTCCTTGGTATTCAGGGGCAGAGTGCGTCATGCATTTTCAAAATAGCAGTCCTGACATGAATACCAAGCTTAATAATGACAGAGCAAACACCTTGGGTGGGAAAGTCACAGCATCGCCCAGCAGACGAGGGCCCACTGCTCATGGGGTCTGGTCTGTTTGATGAATCTTCTGGGACTTTGATGGAAGTGAAGTGTTTTGTCTGATATGAATGGCCTGTCAAAAGGCGCTTTACGGTTTAAACAGCTTCCTCCATACATTTGTTTGGCTTATTAAAAGCAGAAATTAACAAATTATTGCACAACTCTAACTTTCGATCCATCGTGCAGACTGCAGAAAAGTTATCATCCAAAAAGCATCTGATTTCTACAACTGGTTGAATCAAAAGGAATGAATAATCCAAAACAGCTTTTACATTGCTTTGCAAAATGATTCATATCTTCAGAACTTCTTCATTTTGTCACATCACAACCACTAATTTTAATGTATTTTAATGGAGTTCTGTAGTCAGGAACAAAGTAGTGAATAACTGTGTGGTGGAACAAAGATGATACAACATTGAAATACATCTCCTGTCCCTGCTTGGTCTGCTGCCACCGCCCAGTTTCACCAGGGAGATTTTGCATTGATGGTGATATGTAGTGCAAATTGTTTGCCACATACAGTGCTGAGGAAAAATATTTGTACATTTTGAGATCTTCTGTTTTAGCTTTTGTTTCACAATTAAATGTTTAAGATTGTCAAATAAACTTTAGAGTTTAATTCAAAAAAATAAAATAATAGTTGGACTTTTTTCAGGATGTTCATGGATGTACATCGGCAAAACAATGCAACCGCGCACTTACATCCTGTGTTAATTTTAGGACACATGTAACAGGTCACACAACTTTCAGGTAAGTTTCTGTTTTTCTTTCCAGTCCACAAAAATCAAAGATTTTTCGAAAAAATCTCTGATTTTTTTCTCTGAATCTTTTTTTTGGAACTCTTTTATGGATGTAATTTCTGCCCAATCACTCTTCATTATTGAATCATGTGAGGTCTGCAGTGATTTGCTGTTCAACATTGTTGTAGTTGGTGCGTTCCTGGAGTAATTTCATAGGCTGATCATTTCTAGGAAGGTTAGCTTCCTAGAAATTTCTCCAACGTTTTCCTCTCATTGTGCATGATGGTTTCCTTGTGGATCAATGAAGTCCCAAAGGTTCCATGTAAGTGAGTTCTTCATGCTACAAGGTGGGCAGTAATCATGATTTTCATTTTGGATATCTTCAGCTTATCAATTAAGAAAAATAAAACTATACTAAAACATTTAACTGTGTTAGAAACCAAATCATTGTAGGAGGAAAATACTCTTCATAGTCCTGCTCTATAATTATGAACTGCTTTTTGTTTATCTGACAATCGAAGTACATTAAAGCTTATAGTTATGATGTGACAAAATATGAAAAAGTTGAAGTGGTTCATATTTGTACTTATCATCAGTCGCTATACATCCCTTCCCCACATCCAGCCTCTATATGTGTGTGGTGTGGTGTTTGTGTGGCTGCACAGCATGCATTTTTTTTCTGTTTTTCTGTCTCTGTCTGCCTCACATTCCAACTGCGTGCATGTGTGTGTGTGTGTGTGTGTGTGTGTGTGTGTGTGTGTGTGTGTGTGTGTGTGTGTGCCCTGCTGGGGTGTGTCATAGCCCTCTTAGAAAACCCGCTGGGCCCCCGCTTAGCACTCACACTGAGTGAGAAGGAGGGGATGGAGAGGTATGGAGGGATTTGGCGAGGGAGAGAAGGGGTCAGAAGAAGAGGAGGGAAAAGAGGAAGGCATCAGTGTGTTAAATGAAGGTTTCAAAATCGAGCTCGAAGGGTGAAAAGAAGGTGAGGGATGTTAAACCGAGGTGAGAGCGTGATTTAGCAGGTGTTTTTTTTTTTTTTGCTGCATCATCTCTAAAGTTTCTGCCTGTAATCCTGCGGTGCGTTTCTTCCAGCCTTCTCAGCCTCTTGTCTGCTCATATATTCGGGGCTTGTGTAACTTTGCGTCTGCGTTTGATAAATCAGGGGAGGGCTCCTAGAGGATAATTGCTCGTGTCGACAACACGCTTCATCTGTGCCCGCAGCGATCGCCGGTTGCCAAGGTTACGTGGCCACGTGTCAACACGTTCCCCCTCGAAGGTCGACACCTTCCTGAATGGATATCGCCACCG